GTTTTGTATTTAACACATACACTTGGCAAATAAATTAATAGAGTAGTGTCGAAATTTGTCAACAAGGCGCTTATTGAAATATGGGCGTCTATATTTAAACACATTATGTTTCTGCTTTACAAAATTATTATTTCCGTAAAGTGCGATAGTCGAGCGCGAACAAACAGATTACTGGCGTGATTACAGATCGTAAGGGAGGGCAAAATAGAATATTTTCATCAAATCAAATAATTCGAATATTTTTAACGAATTGTCGAATATCGGGTATTTTTAGTATATAAACAACAGCCATCTAGAACGCTAGACATTCTAATGTTGGTGAGCTATTTCCGCCCGTCCTCTTTTTTACAGGGACCAATTATTACACTACGGCGAACGTCTAAGTTTGGGTTTATATTCCCAGGAGAAGTATGCGTTCATATCGGCGATATGTTAAAGACAGGTAATAAAGAGTGAATTCGGGATTTTATTCCGATCTTTATCTTTTGTGTCGGCTTTGATCTTTCTCCCCACCGTTTGTAATTTACCTGTCCCAATTTTAAGCTAACAATATCACCATTTCTGACGCCGGAATGCGGATATCTATGAAGACGATAGTTGACATTTTTATAATTTCACTTTTCTATTGTGCCTGTTTTAATTTCGTAATATATAGTGAATGAAAACCCGGCAAAGTCATTGCGTGAATCCTGAATGTTATTTTGGGCTTAAAACTTTAAATAATGATTCAATAAATCTGCAATAAAGGCAATTCTGCTAGTCAAATAATAATTCTTTGTAAAATTTGGGAAAAATTTCGCACAATAATTTGTTACCTTGTTTAACATTTTCAATTTTACGAAACGATGTTGGTGTGCCTTATGCAAAAATTAGAATTGAAACAATACCCAAATACGACCTCTCAAATTTGTCGTATCTGTTTGTTAGCAAGAGCCGTGGGGTAATTCTCGCGGAATTGGAATCACTTAAAATGAATTCAAAAATGAAACCTCTTCGCGGCACACCAAAATCATTCCGCGGCATACTAATGTGTAATACATACCTATTTACACGCCTTTCGTTTGGAGCAAGGTTCTGCACAAACAACACAATACAACTGCACAACCTGCGATGATATTATAGTAAAGTCTGAAGCTCCAAATCAGGGATCACTAGTCACCACATTATTTTTTTCTAAAACGTCCGGATGGATACGGAGATGCGCGATTGCGGGTCTGATCAGTGGCGCAGCTAAGGGGGGTTCGCAAGACCGATTTGTGCCTAGTTTATACATGAATGTAATTTGTCCTAGTTAAATGTAATATAGAAATATCACCGATATCGCTCTTTTTAGTTTCTTATCTTGCCACAAAGTATTGCTTTATTTTTATCCGTATTTAGCCTATACCGTATCTAAAATTTCGTATTTAAAATTATTGTAAAAATTATATCCGAATGTCGTTATAATTTTTAGGACCGATTGTTCGAGTCTGTGTCTTAACAGTAACCAAGCATGCAGAAAAATAACAAAGAAACAGAATTTTTCGCGGATTGGTATAAAAAACCGCGGACCGGCACTGGCAAGCACTCGAATATGGGACCATCTCGAGTTGTCATACGAGAAAGAATCAATCCAAATACACTTCCCGCAACGACAATGACTGCGACTGAGAGCAGTACAAATCGGATAGTCCAATGAGCATATATATATGCTCATTGGATAGTCCAAGTATAGTTCGTATCTGGATTGATATTTTTATATTTTTATCCCGAAAGTGCGATCAATTCGGCCCATCATTACAGATCGATTCAATTACAACTTTATCTGACAAACTTCAAACCTGTTGTTATAGCCTATGATGCAATCCTATACTGAACAAGAGAGCTACGCCCAAATATATGGACACGTCTGTTCGCAGTACAGTACGGTGTACTGTACCGTCAGATCACAGTCTACAAATATATTCACACCAAGTGAAGCCGCACAGTAGGACACAAAATGGCGTCCGATATCCGCAGAACGTTTAATGGCGTCATAGCAAACAAAAACAAATCTCACAGAGCTAACAGGTATATTTAAAATGAATAAAAGTAATAGCTTCTGGGGAAAAATTTATCTTCAACCACTGAAAATTTCAAAGCAATTGGTCCAGTATTCAAAGAGAAAAGCGGTTTTTTAATATTTCCACTAGGTGTGTTATTCTGTGTCAAATAACAACAAGAACAAGAACAACATAATATTGAAACGATCGTTATGTCCACTACGTGTCCAATAATTCTTGTTATTAGAGTTAGAACCATTCTTAGCACGCGAATCCATGTCGACGGCGGTGGCGCAGTGCAAGCGTTCGAGGAAGTTAAACAGTAGGTCCGGTCTGAGTTTAGGTTCGAATCCAGTGGGGGACAGCAGATTAATAAATAAGAGTATGCCAAAAAAGAATGAATAGGAACCATTCAGTTAGATCAGGGGTGGGCAACCTCTCTAGTCGGCGGGCCAGATGTGCGAAAATGAAGTCCTCGGTGGGCGGGATTATTGCATGAATAGTATGCAATATCTTAATCACATATATTTGCTAATGGCAACGAAGAAAATTATAAATAGCGTTTAATAAAGTTTAGAAATTACAAAAAATTGAGACCAAAAAACACATAATGAATTTATCATAATGTACTAAAAGTGTAAAAATGTAATATCATAATGTAGGCTACTGATGTACAGTCAGCGGGCCGGTCAAAATTTCGTCGCGGGCCGGACGCGGCCCGCGGACCGTATGTTGCCCACCCCTGAGTTAGATGTTGGCGTGGTTACAGACGAGCAGAGGACAATCCAAAATACGGGAGGATATTACACAATAAGGAGAGCAGGCATGTCAAATAATAGAGGAAGAAGGCATGAAAACCCGAATGAAACCGGCCGAGCGAGCAAATATGGGACATAGGAACCACCGAGCCAGAGGCCGGCGGAGCAACAGAGGACAATTCCCAAAGCATGAAAAACCGAATGAAACCGGCCGAGCGAGCAAATATGGGACATAGGAACCACCGAGCCAGAGGCCGGCGGAGCAACAGAGGACAATTCCCAAAGCATGAAAAACCGAATGAAACCGGTCGAGCGGGTAAATATGGCTCAGAATCAGATGTACACAAATCGGTGCACAACAGAAGTATGACAAGAATCAGATGATCGAAAAAAATATGAGTGAGCGAGCGGAAGTAAAAAAATACACTCATAGACACTTAAAAAAAGAGATTTTGAAATTTTGTCAGCATAAAGCGCAAGTGCGAAGAAAACGGGCAACACAAATAAATATATTAGCTATTTACCTTACATTTTCAGTCCGATGAGAGTCGCGAGTTACTCGACGTTGGACCATTGAGGTGTACACCCGTGAATATATACTACTACGGTACACCCACACCACAATGCCTTGGACCAGGGGTCACCAAACTACGGCCCGCGGGCCGGATCCGGCGTCATTTTATCCGGTCCGCAATAACACACAAAAATGGCTAAATTTTTTTCCAAGGGAGATTTTCACGAGCATCGACGTCTTTGTTTATTTCGTAAAATTGGCCAATCGGCAAGATGCAAAAATGTGACGTAATAATAGGCCTTTCCGCGTCCGCTCAGACACTTTTGTCACCCTGACAGATTTTCAGTCGTGGTTGTAAACAAAACTTCGTTTTTGCAACTTTGAATGCTACCAGTAGGCGTAACGTTTTCTGCGAAACACTTGTACACTCGTGGCGCGTGCTTTCGACGAAACTGTTTGTTTTTTGTGCTAAAATAAACGTCGAATGTGCATTTTGTGCAGTACTGTAATCCCTCGCGTACTGCTCCAATTTCAAAAGCCACACTAACTTTTGTACTACTTTAATGCGGATATTCATGTAGGTATGTTACAAAAAAATTGAAGTCCATCCGATTTAAATAAAAACTGCTCCAGTGGAAAGATCTGAGTAAAAATAGAAAACAATACCAAGTTTATAATAAACGGTCAAGAAATATCGGAATTTTAGTACCGCCCGACACGCCAATTTTTTCCATAATGATTGTATTACTTTTTTGATAAGAACTGAACTAAATATGGAAAAATAACACATATCAATCACTAATCTTTCGATGTGCGTCACATCTATGGTATATTGAGACTATTTTAGACTTTTATTCTGGCAACGGTCATTGACACCGCGAAAGATCGTCGCAAATAAACGCTGGAGTTGTGCATGATAGTTTGACAGTGGTTCATTGTGGGTAATAATTAACGATGTGCTGATTGTACGAACTTCATAAAAATTGTATCAAGTTAGGAAAGAAATACACACGTCCACATACATTTTATTGGTGTCCATAGACAATATCATTAATTTGCACTACGTATAACTGGAGCGTAATTTTTAAAAGCGTCGAATGTTGGGAAATTTATGGGCTAATGAAAAAAATCAAATACCAGATAATAGTTGTTTATTTTATCTAAATTATGTCAAAATTTCATAGAATTCCAAGCTACAGCAGATAGTCGTTTTTATGAGAGGTATTTCAACTCGGCGTAACGGTACTTAGCAGACCGTAGTAGTATATATTTACAAGAAGACGTGATGCGTACATTTTTTGCCGAGGATTTTGTAACATTTCTAATTCATGACAGCAACGTTTTGATAACAGCTAAACTCAGGATAATTGTCTAGATATAGAAATCTTGTTAATTTTTTTCCTAGGATGTTCTCGTTCTATATTCTGCGATATTCCCAACATTTGTGAATTTATTGTATTGCATTGACAAAAATATTCATCCGGCCCGTTTCAACACAATTTGAGTCATACCCGGCCCGCGGTCAAAAAAGTTTGGTGACCCCTGCCTTGGACCGTAAATAAATAGATTGGACCCATTTATCTAATATTGAAACCGCGGAGTGGCGCTAACAAGTAAACATAAAAACTGGGGTTCACCAGGAAATTAGAGGTTTGAGAGATTAAAGGATTGGGGATTTGGGTTCTCTGGTGCATCCCCTGTCCCATGATGGACCAAGAAGAGGGTTCCTCGGGTTTAGTAAGGAATCACAGTTCTTCAGCTTCGGACCAGACGCCAAAAAATATTGATAATGAAGAGCATGGCGGGGAAGACGAACGAGTCAAATTGTCCGATTTTATCACCATGTTTAGAGACGAAAAGATTTCAAATCATGGTGACGTTTACGATGGAGAAATAACAAGCGACACTTATGGAACTCGGTCCGTTGCCATAAAATTTATCCCTTATAGTGAGCAAAATGCGGAAGAGGCAAAAATAATGCTTTTGCTTAACCCACACACTCATGTAGTGTCTGTGATTCACGCGGATGTTTACCAGCAAGGACCTTTGCAGTACATGTATATTGCAATGGATAAATGCAGCCAAGAGAATTTACGTGGCTTTGTTGAAAATCGCAAGAAAGAAGGAAATTCTTTCGACTTTGAAATTGCTTTTAGTTTCGTAAAGCAATTATTTGCTGGGATGGAATATGTTCATAGTAAAAATGTGGTGCATAAAGATCTTAAACCTGACAATGTGTTTTTGTCACTTGATCATAAAGTTATTAAAATTGGTGACTTTGGATTGAGCGAAGTGCTTAAGTCAAGAACACAAACAATAAGTACCAGGAAAGGTTTAGGCACTGATGGATACAGACCTCCTGAATCATTTGTATCTGGTTTTCCAACATCTCAAAAAACTGATATTTATTCACTTGCTGTGATTGTTTACTTTTTGTTGAGTGATGGAAAACATCCATTTAGCAATGAAAAAGATCTCTGGAACTATAATATGAAGTATAATAAAAGTATGGATTTGAGTGAACTTTTGGGCCCAAACACTGAGGAAGCTAAAGATTTGATAACATGGATGCTTCAGTTTGTTCCCCGTAATCGTCCGACAATAGATCAAGTTCTTGGTCATCAATATATTGTGCCATCAAATGTTAAAGGTATTCTATTTCAGAACATGTCGAAACAATTTTTAATCGACCAAAAATCTTGCACTAAGGACAATCAAGATTTGCTTTCCCTCGCACATTTTGAACATGAAAGAACAGAGATAAAAATCATTCCAAAATTGCAAAATAAAGTGAAAACATCAAGCAGTAAGCGTATGGCACCATTGCAGTTGTCTAATTTGATGAGAGTAGCAAAATATCTTGAAGAAAAAAAGAAGATACAAATAGCTGCTGAAACATCTGAAAATCACATATATTTAGGTGAAAACTTTTGGATGTTTGGTGATAAAAAAATACAAAGAGGATCATACTATACAGTTTATGAGGGCCAACAGAAAGTTCCCAACTCTTCTCCGAAACCACTTGCCATAAAATTGGACCACATTGAAAATATAGTCAGTCTCCGGAGACTGACATTTCATCCTAATATTGCTTCAATCTTCCACAGTGGCTACGTTAATTTTGAAGGTGCGAGTAGGACGTTCCTAGCAATGGAAAGATGCAATTCTCAACCTTTGAGAACATATTTTGAAGAAAGAAAAAAACTTAATATACCTTTTGATTTTTCTCTTGCTTTAAATCTTTCGAAGCAAATAGTTAGTGCTTTACAACACTTACATCTATCTAACTTCATTCACAAGTATCTGAGCCTAAATAACATTTTCTTTTCTCTCGATATGGAAAGTGCAAAAGTTATTTTGTATGGTTTGGCAAGAACTGTAGCCATGGATGATACATCTATGGCACCAGAAAGTGTTCGAGCCCCTTTATCAATTAAATCAAATATTTTTTCTCTCGCTGTTATTTTATATTATCTGTTAAGTTATGGGAGCCATCCATTCGGTGATGACCTATTTCAACAGGTTCTGAATATAAAATACAATGTGAAGCCTGAATTGAATGAATTACTTTGTCCCAATCCACAGTTGGCTCGGGATTTATTGATGAAAATGCTGGATTTTGTGCCTGAAAATAGACTATGCATTGAAGAGGTTTCTAATCATGAATTTTGGCGAAGTCTTACCAACTAAAAAGCCACATGTGCATCAGACTTGTAACAACGGTCCTCAAACTTTATCTCATTTACCCCTTTTTGAAAATTAAAATTTGCATCCCACATTTTTCATATATTTCACTTTTACGAATACGTATATTGACATATTATATGGGCTTTAGATCGCCTTTTTGTCCCAATTGATTGTAGACGCCTAAAATTTATTTTGTTGGCTCCAATTTACCACAACACTCAGCTAATTTTTTATCAATATGCTAATTAACGAACAGACAGTCATCTCTGTAATAAGGGCGTAACATTTATTTTGCAATTTGCTACGTGCTCAGCATTCAAGCTGTAGTTTATTTGCATAGTGAAATTGTGATTTCCTTTTCGCCAAATTTATGACTAGGGTAGGGGGGTAAATTTTACCCTAGCTGAGAACTTTTGTAACTTATTATTATTTCTCACATTTAACTGCCTGTGTCCTACGGCCTTTTTTGTATCACACTTGGTAATAGTTAACTATGGAGGCATTTCATTTTAAAATCTCAAGTTTCAATCCCATGCCTACCAACTACGGTATAAAAAATCGAGTGGGCAAATCCAAACCGGAAAGATTCCAACTGTCCTCCCAAAATAAAGTAGAACCTTACATATCAGAGGCTGCTTGTGAAAATTCTAGTTCAGATGAAAACACTATACCTTTGTTGTATGAAAAAATAAGTCTCAGTGTCCATATCAGGGGCATAGCCTGGTTTTGCTTTCTGTATCATGGCAATTTAAAACGTTTCTCAATACATTTGAAAACCAAGGACCTGCTAGCTGTATTGGTCTAACATTGCAATTAAAATCTCAGATCCTCCCATTCTTCAAAAATTCTCAGCTACACCCCTAGTCCATATTTCTGATGTGTTGCTGTGAGACCATATATAAATTTGCTGACTATTTCTTAGGTAGTTAGCCACTTCATATGTTAAGTTACTTTACAAAGAGTAAGCCAAATACTACTGTTTGATATAAAGTTTCATCTCTATTTTATTTTTTATGCTAGCTCAATAAATAATTTGTTTTTTAATCATGTATTTTTGACGTTTATTCGTTTTAAATATGCAACTATCATATCTGTATCAACTACCTACCTATATACTTTTTAAATATATTTTTAGTCATTATATCGTTAATGCTGCCATGAGTGCCAATGTATTAATAAAACTTTCATATGTAATGTAAGTCCTGGGTAGAGTAGTTTCACAATCAAAACTCGATGAAGTGACAGAATCATTTTATATCAATATATAAGGCTCAATGCTGATTGCGCACATTAGATTTGATTGCGCACACATTTGATTTGATTGCGCACATTTGAAGGAAGTCAAATTGAACTAGAATAGATTACTGTTCCATGTCCATTTGGAGCAAAGAAAAAAAATTTTTCACCAGAGCACAAAATGAAAATCTATGCTTTTTTGGCTTTTACTTGATTAATTTTTGTTCTATTGTAACCCAATACAAGTGAAATTTATTTGTTTATGGTCATTTTCTGGTGCTCCGATAGTGTGTATACCAATATAGAGGAAACTAATTTTGTTTGCCTAATTCGCAAGTTGTGTAAAGGGACTGTAATCTATTGGCAAGGAGTAAATTCACTTGGCTAACACAGACAGTCCCCGGACACTTAATAGAACTAAAATAAGGAAAATTGGAATAAAATTATACCCTAACCTGGTATACACACTATTACCCATTTTCTGTTATGTTAACTGGGATATTACTAACGAAATTTGTGATGATTTAAACCTTTAAGTAATATTTCTTCAAGTAAATCTGTTCAAATTGTGCACTCACTCAGGAATAAAGAGGAGGTTAATCTCAGAGTGAAGCTATGGGCAACCACTGGAGAGCCAGGAGTTACTGAAATATTATCAGCTGTCCGGTTTTTAGGCTGCTGTTTCGATCCTGTAGCTCAAGAATGTGTAAAATCATCAAAAAACAAATAATAAGCAGTTAGCAGATAGAGCAATATTAAAAACCAAAATTTGAAACTGAAATGTATTCTATTCAAGATCATAATTATCTATACATTGTAATCTTTAGCTCCATATTCTGTATTCAGAAATATCCCATCAAGCCTTCATATTCTTGTACATTCTTGAAAAATTTGTTTTTGATGTAAGTGTCAATTTATGCAATTTCAGCATTAGCATCTTTTACTAAGAATATTTTCAATTTTTTATATTTGACAATCTTTACTTAGTGAGCCATATCATATCATGCCCTCATGTTCTTATAATTTTCTGATTTTGACTATTTTCTGATAAAAGTGTTAATTTTTCGTTTTCACTATTGTTTGACTTGTTCAATGTACTGAGATTTTACCCTGTAAGAAATATCCTATTCAGCCCTTTTTTTCATAATTTCCTTACAAAATGTCGTATTACGAACTTTCCATTTTGTTTACAATTTTATCAAGACTATGTACTGAAATATTCTTATATATTGTTTTCTTATTTGATTGAATTTATACAGTTAATTTTCTACTTAAATACTTGATATGAATTTTTGCTTGGTGTTCGAAAAACTCTACACAAACAGAGACTTTATGGCAGTTTTATTATGATGGCATCAACAATAAAGGACCGATCAAAGCATTCCTTCTTTTTGTCTCGTCGAGATATTTTTGAAATTGAACGAGAGTTTTGTCCGACTCCGAGAGAAAGCATCATTACAACTGTGTTATCATATATTAAGGTGAATTTTTGTAAATTTTTTTTCTTGAATTTGATATAGTTTATTAATCTACTTTACTCTGGAAATCAGAATTTGTTATCAGAATAATTATTGAAAGTCTAAGATCACTGGAGTTGAAGTCGAAATTTGAAATGGTTTCTTTTTTGTGATTTTCGGCAATAATAAAAGAAGAATTTTTGTTTTAAAGAAATTTAAAAGCATTTAGTTTACTAAGCATTCCTAACAGTCTATTGCGTAAGGCTTGCACACGCCAAAGTTTTTCATATCAAAATTTGATGTCCTTGTAGTGTGGAGCTGGCTTCGAAATTTTTGCAACTCTTCATTTTTCTTAAACCAGAAGACGAAGTCAGCCCAAGTTTTTTAAACCCTGACTCGGGAGTCGATTGTGAAGCCTTGAGTTGACTTTTTGTATTTAATCAAAATTTTGTTTTCGAACAAAATATTTACAGTCACCGGCTCCATATTTATGGTTATTATTTTCTACTGGCAGAAATCTTTGGTTCCCCTTATATTTGAACCATAGCTTAAAAACGATTGAGGTCACAGTAGTAACACGTCAGCAATATCTGAGTATATGTCAATATAAGATGGTCCTTGCAAGAATATAGTTCCTCATTGACTGATTTATGCAGTCTACAATTAAACATTACTTCAATTCATAACGAATATGAGTCATACATAAAGTATTCTTTGATGCATACTTTATCTATGGCGTATGCATGAATGTTTGTGCTGTGTTAAGTGAAAAAACAAACTTTTTATTTGCTTTCTTAGTGGACTTTACTCTTTAAATCTGGCAAGTATCAAAGTTTACCAATCTCATTGTACATTATGTAGTTTTACTATTGCGTAAGGGTTTCGATAAGAGACTGGTGGTATGTGGGGTTTGGAATATATCAGATTTGAGTTTTGCTTTGCTGTGTTATAGGTTGATCTTCTGGATTACTTTAGAGAAGGAGTGCAGTGATAAAAATTACATCAGTGATGTAGAGTTTTAGGGATACTCTCATAGTGTGTGTACCAGGTTAGGATTAGGCCATAAAATTTTTCCGATTTTCCTTATTTTAGTTCTATTACGAGTTCAGGGACTGTCTGTGTTAGCTAAGTAAAGGCGAACAAAATTAGTTACCTCCATTATTATTCGTACACTTCTGGATTTTCTAATCTTGTTTTTGAAAATTATTCCACCTGGTAACATATGCAGTGTTCAGTACTGTTATAGTTTCTAATTAGTTAGGTACCATGTATTTAATTGAAATGGTTAGTAAGAGAGTAACTTATCACACTGTATTATTTCTGTAAACCCTAGTTTTCACTAACAACTTTAGATATCAATAAATAGTTCTTCTAAACTTTCAAACATGAATGGTGTAGCGTACAACCAAACTCAATTCAACACATATAGAAGAAAACTTCCTGATATTGCAGAGGAAACTAATGGGATTGGTGCAATGGTAATTATTAGAAAACTAATGGGCTTCTGTCTCTATCTTGAATATGTAGTAATTCCGCATCTTCACTCTTCAGAATCATATATTAATTTAAACCTATAATTAGCCTTGAATTATGGGCATTATGCAGTCTAAACAAATATTTGAATCAAATTTGAAATTGATTTTATTTGGTATTTCACATTCTATATTTTCGAAATAATTTCGTTTGAAAATTTTTATTTTTATTCAGATAATTTATTTTCGTCGTGCATGAAACATTGTAAACATAAACTATAATAACTCAAGTCAAAGTAAAAACAAAACAAATACATAATGTTTTGACTCTAATTGACGAGGAGGTCGCGAAAGGCTATCAAGTCACTGGAAGTTGAGCAATTGAAGTCTCTTCATACCCTCAAAGTGTATTATTATGACATCGCATTTCGTGATAAACATGATAATTCTGCCATGTTTTTGTTAATTCATCTTGTTAGACAGACAGTATATATTTTATCCTCAAGGAAACTATTTAGCCTACTACTCAACTGAGAAAAATTATTCTCAAACAATTTTATGAGCATCATTATTTAGCTAGCCTGAGCTGCAAGAGAAATAATATAATACTATATACATTTGAATAATTAACATGGATAATTCATAGGTAATCTCTCTTATTATTAATAATTATATCATTCTCAGTCTATGTGTGTAGGTAATTGGTAATTGGTTTTATTCAACTTATAAGTTCATGAAACTGTTAATCAAAAAAGATTTATGATCTTCCTATTTATCATGTAATTATTATTTGATAATAATGGTCATGAATGAATCCCAATGGTGGCGCTAGAGGCTGGTTTAAAATTTCATAACTGACTGTGGTTGAATAGTGTGTTAATAACAGTAAGTGATATTGTAATTATGCCTTTGTTTAATTGTTATATATAGCATGTATTTTTCCGAAATATATTTTCAAGTTGAAACTGAAATTTTGTCAAATATCAACGACATGAAAAACGACAAAAAGACTGAAAAAGTAAAATATATTTAAATTGTGGAGTTGTTATTCAACAATTATTTAATAATGATTTGATGATAAACTCAGGGACAATATTTATTCATAAATAGATTTGAAACTCATTAGCAACATGGCAGCAAGCCAGCAACACATTGAAAATTGTAAAATAAGTAAACTAAGATTGTTAATATATTAACAAAATATTAAAATTGGTATATTTGTACGAATATTTCACGTGTCCCATCACTAATTAATTAATAACTCGCTAATTATACGACCTAATTCATCCAAAATCAATAGGCTTCTGGTCCGAGATACGTTGAATGCCATGCAAAATCTGGAGCAGATTCAACCTCGCTTTGTGAAATAGCGCGTTCATCTAACAGACAAACAAACAAACAGACAGACAAATACCTATCAACATACTTACCCATCTTAAGATCGATGAGTAATAATAGACTGACCTACTAAAGAGCTAATTGATCAATGTTATCTAATCAATTGGAATTATATCAAGCAGCTTTCTATCCCATTCTTCCTGTATTATTGAAAGTCTTCTCTCCTTATATAGTTGGGATTAGATCAAATTACTTGGTAATATAGTTTTGCATTATTCATTACTTAGGGCAGTGGGGATTCACATATAAATGGTAGGGATAAGGTAATGTTAGAAAGTATAGATGAGACCTAATAGGTTAGTTCCAAGTTATATAGCAAGTTTGGAAGGTAAGTGTGGCCTTGGGTTCCATTTGATAATTTTATATAGTTTAATATAGTTATTTTAGATTAACTTTCTTTGTTTGCATTGCCAGACATTATAAGATATATTCCATTTCCTAATATTCCATTATTGAAAACATCAAAATAGTAAAATAATGGAATTTGAGAATTTTCTAATTTAAGGCGAAATTGGTTAATAATTACCCTTTCAATGTATCAAAAATTAGAATTGTTATAATTAGACATTGGCACATACAATTTTAATTGTATCCAAGGCATAATATAATCACAGTTACCAATATAATACTACTTTTTAACTTAATGTTTAGTGTGCAGGATTAGTATTTGATTTGATGTATTATATCATCAATCAGTAGGTACCGTAATTTGTTTTTTTCATACCGAAAATGCAAAGCATGTGTGAAAAGAAAAATGAATCATGCATTATATTGTGAATGAGCCGCGATAAACCAGTAATTGTTATTCAGAAGCGACACCTAATAAATAACACAATTTGAAAATAACACTGTCATCATATTTAGTGTGTAGTCCGTAGTCTAATCTGTTATATTCCAACCACTGACAGCACTTTCTATATTTTGACACAGCAAGTAGGTGCTAAATTGGATTCCATTCCAAGCACATGCTTTATGATGTCATAGTTATGACACTTATTTTCAAGCTACTCAATATGTTGTATCAACAATTGAGATTGTATTAAAGAACAGCTTTCCTTAAATAGCAACGATTTTAGAAATTTAAAAGCTGTTTAGTAACAAGCAGATAAACAAAAAGCTAGGAGAGAATATAGGGAGAATGATACATTAAAAAACAGTAAATTTTATCATCTGTTCAAGGTAGTTGATTTTAGTGTTTATTGTAGTGGATATTGGTTTAAATTATATTCATAATGAAAGCATGCACCATGCATTGTAAATGGCTAAAATTGGGGACAGAATGTAGTGAAATAATAATTCATATTATACAATTGACTATATTATGATTGATTCTCCCTACTGTTATAGACTATAACATATGGTAATTCGTTTTTTGTCAAGGTAGCTTTGTCTTTCTACCTTGGGAAATTTTCCTCTATTATGTGTGTGTGTGTTATTTAAAAAAGACTTACCGTAGCAATGTGAGAAGAATGACTTCTATAATAATTTGTACTTCCTTGTATTTAATCTTACCTTATCAAAATTTATCATTACATTTTCGTATCTATAAGTATCATGCATAAAATTAATTTTTTTTCCCCCAAACCCCATTTTACTTTGTTTTATTTATATCATACCCTTTACTAAGGGACTGGAAATCGGCTTAAATTGTATGTTTATAAATGACAGTTGACTGTATTGCACCAACCATGGACTTTCATTAAAACATCAAAAAGGGTCCCAGCTAAACAATTTTTTATTGGGGTATTTCCACACATGGGGGTGGTTTTGCAGGTCAGACCCCCCTCCCCTTTAAAACGAAAAAAGATAAAAAGCATTTTTCCATATCAGAAATGGGCAATTTTTATGCTTGAAACACTTTTTATACTCACAAGACCCCTGAAAACCTCGTTTTCCTGTCGTCGTCTGGACCAGGTAGCTGTTATGCCCTTTGAAAGTACCTGGCTACTCCTCTGTTCTCACTGCTTCACTTTGAGCAAGTATCTGTACGAGCACTCACCGATGAGTTATTGGACACACAGTGGACATAACGATCGTTTTGTTGTTCTTGTTCTTTGACACGTTTTGAAGAAATCGCTCTCTTTGATTACTGGACCAATTGCTTTAAAATTTTCAGTGGTCAAAGATAAAAATTTTCTCCAGAAGGCTAGAAGGCTTTTTTTTGCTATGACGTCATCAAAATTATTGCCATTAGGTGGCGCTACATGTCCATATATTTGAGAATAGCTTTCTTGGTATTCATTGGAAGAACCGGAGACTTTCTGGTTAGAAATTGCCCAACCAAGTTTATTACACCCTGGTACCTGGAATTTGAATCTGAGATATAGATTTGAAAATTTTCAAATTTGGAACACTAGAATGAACTATTTCGCAATTTGTTATTCCATCTTTGTTATAATATAATTTTGCATATTAAATGACTGACACGACCAATCATAATCCTCATAATTCATGCATGTCAAAGATATTGATTCTATATACACTAGCGACTGCCGAACCCAATACTTATCTGTATATGACAATTATTGATGATTCGTTTTTTTTGTTCTAGGGATTCACTGCTCCTTTGATTTCATCTTCAAGCGTTGGAGGCAAGAAGACCCATACAAAGGTGAGAACTCTTACATTTTAATTCTCAGGCTTAGAAATTTGGGAAATGTCTTTCTATTTTTAAATTTGATGTAACAAGTTTAGTTGTTCTTTTATGACATTGATTTATCTTTCAATTTCTGTTTGGAGTTTTAAGACTGGCAGTTAACTTGTTGATGTTAAATCTTGTTGCTTCATTTCATTTGAAGCAGGTACCGGTATTTTAGATTTAGGGTCTTGGCCCACTTTTATTGATATTGGAGATTGGACTCTCACAATCTGAGTGGTGAGCTTGAGACAGGGTCAAAAATTTTGTCAACCTTGAGTGAGGAGTCAGTGCTGGAGTCTTCATCGAATGAATGGCGCTCAAGGCTCTTCATATGATTTTAAAATTGGATTCGGGTGTAAATTCATCCCTACTCTATAGCTCAGTCTTAATCAGCAAGGTCATATATGAATAAGATTGTTCAAGGAATGTAAATGAAACAAAGGTGTACATTCGTCACACGCCCTGACCCCACCCAATTTTATTTCAAAATTTTGTAACAAACAGGAATTAGGTTTTAAAAAATGAAAACAATTCTGTAAATTCAATTGTGTATTGCGTCGGTCGCATCCTGAATTGACGACAAGTTGAACGCTTGGACGCTAAATAATTATTTCCTTCCTATGCTGCTAACTGCTATGTTTGCTAACTCAGTCATTTAAATGCATTTTTGTTATGTTTTCGGTATTAAAGACAGATTTTGCCAGCATGGCAGCGACCTTTGATCCTATTTAATAATAACTATTATTAAGAATAGTAGTTGATGACGTTGTATTTCGGTGTTGAATAAAAATAAAAAAGTCTATCAGGTTAAGTGAATGTCCAGAATGTGCAAAAAAAACTTTTTGTAATGGCTGTTTCTCTGTAATGATCTGATATATAATTAAAAGCAATCTTTCATGGAAAATTCTATTTGATTCTGACTATTTATCCTTTCTTTGTACCTGTGATCTGGTGGATCTCTATGCGTATAATGTAATTTTTTTACAAATGTATTCCTGTAGCGTTTAGTTTGTGGTATGTGGTTAGTGTGTAACGAGACTGTTGAATCACATAAAATAGCTATCTTCTACTACAGCATCCTTGCAATATTTAATTAGAATTGCATTTAGAATCCGCCGCCAGTACTTGAGTATGGAGAAAGAATAGGTAGTTAATCTTGTGTAACCCTAACTGGTTCCTTTCTACAAAGATTGCTATTTTTTAAGGAATTATAATTTGAGTTGAATTTAATCTGGTGAAATAGACGTCTCATTGCTCCCGACTGAAACATTTTGAAAATATGCTTTCAAATCTCGCTTATTTCGGAAGCTGTTTACCTGAAATGAGCTCAAAGGTTATTTAGGGCATTTTGATCCGATTAATATCATTAGTGAATCATTGTTTTAAATGGTTTGCCACGATAATTTGGAGTTAATAAACCATTTTTAGTCTTTGAGTTTGAATAACAAAAAATACTTTTTCACTAAACTATATTCAAGGAACTTGGAATATACTTACCTAAATTTAAATGTCCATGAATAGTCTATTTGGTTTAGATGTCCCTTCTTGAAATTAGGAAGTGTCCCATTTTTTATCTACAGAATTGTTCATAACATGTGAATTATAGCATTGTCCGAGCTTCTATCACTATACCTAATTAATTATCATTTTAATTTGGGAGTCATAACACTATTTATGTGGAACAAATCATGTTTTTTGGAGTTTTATCCCATTGAGAAAGTATATTTTTCTGTAGTAAGAAGCCTCAGGCATGGTCTTGCATAGGAATGTCTATACTTGTGGTATTGGTGAAAATAAATTAGCACTATTGTTACTTGTTCTTAAATGAAACCTGATTATTTGAATTTAGTGTAGTTTCGGATATTATGGTTGTTAAGTTGTGAATTATACTTAGTAAGCTAAGCTCTCAGGTTCAGCCTAAATTACTTTATTCAGTATGTTCTTTATGCTTTTATAGTATTTTAAAAAGTGAGCGATTTGAATTGGAGATCTCATCAGGGCTGTTAGGTATCAAAGAGAATACATTTAAGCAGTACAATTTATGTAAATGTGGTTTCCTCCATGTTCACTCTGAATTTGGCTCTGCACATACCGCCCGGTATTTAATGTTTGGAATGCCCAATATCCTCTTGTTTTGGCACACCTTATTGAACAATCATGAACACCATGGGCAATGTGACGCTGATATAGATTGCTGGAATAACCCATGACCTGTTTTGCTCAAATCTTCAACAAACCAATTAGAAGACCAAGAAAAATGTCCTATTGATAAGGAATTAATATCATCCCTAAAACCCCTGCACAAAACAAAGGGTTCTATTATTAAGGTATAGATCAGTGCTTCTCGACCTTTTTTATATTGCGGCCCACTTTCACGAAAAGTTTCACTTCGCAGACCCCCTTTATTAACGTTATTTTCAGAGGGTAGAATAAGTCAAGGTGCCGAACACACAACACAAAAAGAACAAACGGAGTTTTACTCAATGAGAAACCTGAGCTTAGGCAATGCCTAAAACCACTAGCATCCAGTTTTTGCCGTTTCAAAGACAGTTTATATCTTTGGAAGAATGACAAATCTTTTTCGGTATGCTCTGGGTGTGTCTGCTGCAAGTGACGCTTAAGCTCTGATGGCTTCGTTGCTGAGGACAGCATAACATAAAACACATTGCGGTTTTTCCTTGCCACCCTCTGACACTGAGGTAAAGTACTTTCTTGAGTACTTACTTAAGTTTTAGTAGGCAACACAATCTCGTTTGTTACGCCTTGGCTGTAACAACTAGCTACTTCGCTTCAAATTTCAAATGAGAACTTGACCTGTGATGACCACATGCCTTAGAAATCACTGTAGCTGCGTTCTCATATTTATCATTGTGATGTCATAACTCGTAGTTGTCACAATAGGTCTACGGGAGATAAATCAAAATAGTTTTTGTAGGTTATTGTCACATTGTCATAGGCAGCAAATGTTCGAGCGTATTACAAAAAATTAAACTTCAAATAATTTCCTAAAATCTTAATTTAATCACGGACCCCCTGGAAATGCTTCGCTGACCCTGCGGTTGAGAACCACTGGTATAGATGGTGAAATTGAGCAGCAAATAATTTCTTTCATATCTTAAAAACTTAAATTCACAGGAAATCTTTGATATTTTCAGAAAATAGGCAATAAACATTGCAGACATATAAATGCCAAGTTTTTATGGGAATGATTAGTATTGAGTAGACAGGAAATAATGTTGCACTCTGGTAAATTACGCTGAATAATTTGGTTCAATAACTTTATTCCACATTGTGTCAAGAACTTCTAGGTCATTATTATGGCTATTCCGAATTATTCCTGATAAGTGCTGATATATTTTATTTTAAATGCATTTCCTGGCATTTGAATAAGCTAGAGGGAGTTGCATAAAATTTATTAATTTGTATAATCAAGTTACAATTAGTATTTGTATTGAGTTGTCGGATTAATGTATTAAGTACATTACTGGTGTATTGTATAGTATAATGATTTGGTAGGAATTAACCGTTTCATAATTGAAGATTATGGTTATAATGAGCCATTTGCATTTTTATATTCTTGTGGTATGACTGGTCCCATATGTAGAATCAGAATGTAGATTTCAGTATTGCATGATTGTTAGGTCAAGAAACTTTTCTTGCAAATATTTTGGAAGTATTTTACAATGTGGCAAAACACCAAAAACGCAAAACGGACAAAGGCAATCTTTAAAAAAGGGGCACTATAAACCTGTTCAGTGAATACATACAGTATGTATGTATGCGTACCATGCGTACATGTAGTATGCGTACCATAGGTTGGGAACCAATGATGTATAGAAATGCCAATACTAGTCAGCAATTTGGTCTAGATTTGATAAATGGATTACAATTCAGTTAATTCATTTCAGTAAAGACGCTTGCAAGGTTATATTGTTTCAAATACAAAAGTAAAAAGCCTTATGAATTGTGATCTCATCATTTCAATCACATTGAAATAACATTAAATCTCCCTGTTTTTTCATAGTGTACATCTATTGCAAAATCTATATTTGCAATCCAATAAATACATCAAGTAAGGAATAAAACACTAGCAATAAATCCATTAATAACCAATAGAATTCATACTCCTTTAACAAATATTGATTTTGTGTTATTTTTTGCACATTTTTTTACTTTTATTTGAATTTGATGTCTCAAATCTTATATCATTTGCAGTAATTACAAAATCATTACTTAAAATACAAATCAAACTGTCAGTTCATTGTCGAGCTTATTTTTTAATCTTTGATAACTTTACTTGTGTATACGGAAAAAATAACTTAGACAGTTTTATGAGGGTTAGGCTATCGGACCCGCCCACTTATACAATATACGATGATACCTTATGTTCTGGAAGTCACAGAATAGATTTTATATTGTCAAAAGGAGATGGTAGAGTTGTTTATATCTGAACAATATTATAGTATTCTAGAATTTTTGTTTTGCAGAAAAATGATATGCTATATGCTAAATTTTATTTTTGAAGATGAAATTTTATGGAAAAATCTGGTTTTGATTATCTGAATTTTTGGAAAGCACACAGTAGCACAGTCAAATAGCAATAATATTTATTTTTGGAAACTAAATTTCATGATATCCTAACAGGAGGTGCATGATATGTTCTGGGGAACTGACTCTGATGACCGTATATATTCGTATCGCTCGGGAAACTTCGCGTATGTTGTTGTATTTCTTCTTATTGTGCAATGCTACTTTTTTCTGGTTGATATTAATAAATTTCTCTTTCTCTCTCTCTATTGCAAGATGAAGTTGGTTTCCTAAATAAAAATAACATATGTTCGTATTTACCTATTTCAATTCTGTTTTTCAAGTGCCCTTATGGTTTCTCCATTTTGATCCATTCATCTATATAAATTTCTGAAATGAAAATTTCGCAACCAGGGTTGTCCATATAAAAATAATAATTAACTTAT